TGACCTGAATTTTTCGAATGCATATACCATAGCCAATAGCTCCTTTTCAATTGTCGCGTAGATGATTGAGCATCATTCAGTGTTCTGCTTGCATAATAAATCACATGAAAAACCTTATTTCTTCGCTATCCTAATACTGTACCCACGGCATGATCATTGGCGTTACACATTAGTTCAAAAGGCAATTTCCAATCTGGTGCTACCATTACTGACACTAACGTGAGTTTCTCCTTCAAAGTGTTGAAAGTTGTCAGGCATTCCTCATTAAACTCAAATGACACGTCTTTCATCAATAGGTTGCATAGTAGCTTAGTGATTTTCGAGATGTCCTTGATGAATCTTCTATAAAATCTCTGCATGTCCCAGAAAACTGCGAACACCTTAAACTTATGTAGGTGGCGATAGTTTTTCAATGACTAGAATCTTTGCTTGGTCCACTTCAATTCCCGTTGCTGATACTCGGTGTCCTAGTACATTTTCCTCATGTACCATGAAGTGGCATTTCTCCCAATTTAATACCAGATTAGGTTCCTTGCATCTTTGTAAAACCAAATTCAAGTGCTCCAAACACTCGTCAAATGAAAACCCAAAGATCAAGAAATCATCCACATATATTTCTATGAACTTCTCTACCATGTTTGAGAAAATTGCCATCATGCATCTCTGAAATGTGGAAGGAGCATTGCAAAGGCCGAAGGGCATCCTATGATATGCAAAGGTACCATAGGGACAAGTGAAAGTTGTTTTCTTTTGGTCATTTGGTGCCACTGGTATCTGATTGTAACCTGAGTACCCATCGAGAAAGCAGCAATGTGAGTAGCCTGCCAATCTTTCCAGCATCTGATCAATAAATGGAAGGAAAAAGTGATCCTTCTTTGTAGTTGCATTGAGTTTATGGTAATCGATGCAAGCCCTCCATCCCGTCACTGTACTAGTCGAAATTAGCTCATTTTTCTCATCGGCACTATCGTGATTCCACCTTTCTTTGGCACCACCAGAACTGGGCTGATCCATGCATTGTCTGATATCGAATATATGATTCCTGCATCTAGAAGCTTGAGTACCTCTGCTCTGACCACTTCCTTCATATTTGGGCTCAATCTCCTTTAACTCTCTATGGTTGGTCGGAAATTCTCCTCTATAAGGAAATTATGCATACACAGTGAAGAGCTGATCCCTTTGATATCTACTAGAGTGTATCCAATTAATATTTTATTCTCCCTAAGTATCCTAAGCAATTTTTCCTCTTTTACTTCACTGATAGTGTTCAAGATAATGACCGGAAGTGTACAAGACTTTCCCAAGTAGGCATATCTGAGATGTGGTGGCAATTGCTTGAGTTCTAATTTTGGCGGATGTTGAATGGATGGTAGTCGTTTCGAGGGTCCTGTTCTAAGCTCCTCAAAATGCCTTTTGCGTGTATAAAGTGGGTTGGCCTCTACAACCTGGTTGCCCTCTCTATAGTTGTGAGAGACTGTATCTTTGTCGAAGGATATAATGTCTATGATCCATCTGAGTATGCCTTGAATTTCCCATGGTCCTTCGCCTTTAGTGATGTAGTAGATGGCCGCAGTAGAGTCCGACTCTATCCAAATGCCTGATAGTCCAAGTCCTTGCAGATGTGTGCTGCCTATGTGGGAATAGAAATGCCAACATGGACTCGTCTATCCAACAATCATGCCAGAAGAAAATCTGACCAGCTGTAAGGTACCAAGCAATGTGTGGCTCTATCCATGGCCCTACTGATTTCAGCCTCTTTCAGGTAGAAGAGGCTGACAAGGAAATTTCTGCAAGTAAAGAGTGTGTCCCTATGTAATATGAACCCATTGATGGAGTGCGCTAGACAACCATAATAGGTGGTGGTGAAGAAGGGAGACCCATATAAATACCAAAGAGTGATGCAAGAGTAAAGTCTCCTTGCCAGTGTACAGCTCTAAAAAGTCCTCCTATATGAGGAAAAGATATAGTACGGTAGACCCTCCAAATGATATGTTTGGCTACCATGAGAATCCCTCTATGTTTCGCATCATTCCTTTCGATCCATAAAAATCAGAATATCAGTAGAGGAATGATAATGCGAATGTGTCCTTTGCTAACGTACTGTCTAGAATACCTCCATCTCTGGAACCTCTGTTTGACCCCCCTCCCGATCTCATAGGCATATGAAAAATCACCCCAAAGTGCTGCTATACCTGAACGGAGATGATGCTGTCAGTGATGACATGATTGATGGTCTCAATATTAGAGCAGCACTGACAATGAGAAGCTAACTGACACCCAATCTTCCTCTGAATAACCACATCTATCGAAATGAGATCCTGCCATAATCTCCAGTAGAAGAATGAGATAGTGGTAGGAAAGATGGTGTTCCACAGCAATCAATACAAGTTTTAAGATTGGCGAGCTGAACGAACTAGCTGCCATGCTGATTTGGTGGCTGTTTTACCATATGATATAATAGTAGTAGAAAAACCCTAAGGAAGATGACCACCATCAAAGACATCTAATACTGCCTTGTGAACATCCTCCTGAATAATATCCCAACAATGCTGGAAGAATAAGGCTGAGAAATCATTTGGACCTGCGATACTGTCAACATCCATGGTAAAGACCGCCTTTCGAACCTAATGAATCGAAGGAGGACGTTTAACTTCCATATTACCATCCTCCGTTAGAAGCCTATTGTGAAGCATATAGAAGGTTCTGGTAAAATGCCGTAGCTGAAGTCTGAATATCAGTTGGAGTAGCTAAAACTTTCCTTGCCGGTGTCCTTATGGACCTGATATGCGATCTGATTTGGCGACCTTGAAAAATCTCATGGAAATATCGAGCATTGTAATCTCCCTTACATACCCAACGTGAACTGGCCTTTTGCTTCCAAAAATCCTTCTCAATAGACAATATTTTAAGGTTTTTTTTTGGTAAAGACATCCACACATCCTTAGTGACTTTTTAGGGTCCACCAAGGAAGGTCGATGGGGGTTAAGGGTTCCCCAACCATATTTATTTCATAAAAATCAAGAATACACGGAAGGAGGGGGGCAGGAACCTGACCTCCAAAAAGCAGTGATGCAACAAATGAATATAATAAATGAAAGCAATAAATGAGGAAGTACTACTTCCCTATACAATAAAGAATAGCCTAAATTACGAACCTCTGAAACTGGGCAATCCATGTCTGTCGATCCGCACTATCGCCCTAATATGTCGAGGCAGTTCTAGTGGTCCATACTCTAGATAGCGCCGATGATTCCAGCCTTCTGTAGCAAGAGAATCAGCAACCTGGTTGCCTTCTCTGTAGATGTGTGAAACCGTGTCTCTATCGAAATAGATGAGGTCTCTGATCTGTCTAAGAATACCCTGAATCGACCATGGTCCTCCACCTTTGGTAATGCAATGAATAGCCAATGTTGAATCTGCCTCGAGCCAGACAGCTGAAATCCCAAGTCCTCTGGCCAATAGAAGCCCATCTAGTATGGCTCTGAGTTCAGCCTCCAAAATGAAACATGGGCCATACGATGCTGAGAATGCCCTGATACAGTATCCTGCGTGGTCCCTAATGATGCCTCCACCACTTGCAAATCCATCTTTGACGCATCCATCAGTGTTGATCTTGTAGGATCCAACTGGTGGAGTGCGCCAAACAACCATAATAGGTGGTGATGGGAGAGGACGGGTCAAAGAAATGCCAAAAAAAGGTGCAAGTGTCACATCTCCTCGCCAAAGCTCAACTCGGAATAGTCCTCCCATATGAAGAAAGGAGATCATGCGGTAGACCCTCCAAATAATACGTCTGGCCACCATACGAATACCTCTATGCTTCGCATCATTCCTCTCA